CCGCCGGGCGACCTCCCCGCCCGGCGGGGCCGTGCATTCGTGGGGCGCCCTCGGGACTGGGTGGGGCGCCTCCCCGGCCAGCTGGAACCGCTCCGGCAGGGGAAGGGCAGGGCTTTGGCCGGAGCCGGGGGCTGCAGCGGCTTGGGGACCGCGGAAGGGCCCATCGGGCCTGCGGGGTGAGTGCGGCCTGCCCACCGCGGAAGCCCGGACGCGGAGGTGATGTCCCCCCGCACTCCCCCCGCCCCACCCCGCTTTCCTTAGACGAGAGTTGGAGGCCGGGAGAATGTTTGCCTTGGCGCACCGCTTTGCAGTGCCGTCTTGGAAACGGCGCGGCCGTCCAGGATGGCCGTGTTAGCTGTTTGTCTCTCTACGGACGACTCAAGTTTAGCAACTTGGAATACGTCAACACCTCAGCCGTGTTTGTCGCTTCGCCATAACCTGACAGCTCTTCCCAGCTGGTCTGATTTCCTCCTTGTGTCTCTATAATCTGTGGGAAAACAAGGACCTGTGTGCCATGGCAGTCGGAGCTTCCTGCACCTTTACTTTGAAGAACTAACTAATCGTGAAGGGTGCCAGGAGGTTCTCCCGAATCGTAGCGGTTCCAGGGCACAAGTGAGATGCTTGGGAATTGGAGTCTCCCATAGTGCATCTCGGCATCAGACCAAACCGAAAGCTCAGATTAGTAAATGTAGAGGCACAGACTTGGCTTTGTATTTATAGTGGCAAGATAGGGTCATAAGTAGAATGAGTACCCCAGCTGACCTTGTTCTCAATGCTGACTCAGATCTGCTGACTAGTGGGAATCCACATCTTTTGAGAATTACAGTCACCCTCGGCCCTGTTTGTGCACAAAGACCTTTGTCCTGGAATCACATCTGGGTGCTAGTGTGCCTGTGTGGGTTGTAAATTACAGTAGACTTTGTAACTTTCTTAAGGGAAGTTTTGACCCTTGCAAGTTGCTTGCAAGTCAGCTTCCATCAACTTTGCTTGACTATGTTGAGTGCTTTAGGTATCAAGCAAATGTAGATACGGTAAATGAATTGTGCAGTAAGTCACAAAGGATTAGTACTCATGTTAATTTAAGTAGCGATCATCCTAACAAATTCAGCCATGTTCATAGTGTAGTAAACATGCCAGAGAATACTAGGCTCACTGCCTTTATTTTTCTTTGCCAGTCGTGGGGCCTGGTTTTCTGCGTATGTGGGGCTGAGGAATTGAACCCAGGGCCTCATGCATGCAAGGCAGGCAGTCTACTACTGAGCCATCTTTCCAGCCCCTTCCTTTACTTTTACTACTAAATTAAGATTGATTTCACACCTTCCTCAAGTATGAGTTAAAACTAGAGGACAAGGGTGGAGGATGGGAAGGGGAAACAAAGGAGGAGGCTACAATGCTTGATAAGAAATGTACTCATTATCTTGCCCATGTAATTGTAACTCCTCTGGACAGTATTTTCACAATAAAAAAAAAAAAACAACTAGAGGACAAGCTTAAATCTGTGAAGTTCAGGCGGTTTTAATAATAATTCCTTTTTTCTGCTTAGACCTTCTTTGTCAGTTATGGGGCCTGAACTCGGCCTGGGCACTGTCCCTCAGCTTTTAAGCTCAAGGCTATCACTTGAGCCACAGCAACACTACCAGCTTTTTCTGCTATGTGGTGCTGAGGAATCGAACCCAGGGCCTTATGCATGCAAGGCAAGCAGTCTACCACTGAGCCACCTTCCCAACCCTGTTTTTTTTTTTCTTCTTATTTTTGTGTATTTGTGTATACATGAAAATAGCACAATGAAACCATTATGCTGCATTTCCATACCTGGACAAAATTTTTATTGTTCAAGTGCTAAGTACTTAGGTTTTTCCCAGGAACATAGATCTTTTAGGTGATGACTTCAGAATTTTAAATATGTTAATGGAGAGGGTCAGTATTGGGGTTTGAACTCAGAGCCTAATGTTTCCTAGATCTGTTTGACACTCTACTACTTGAGTCATATCTCTAGGCCAGATTTTTTTGGGGGGGAAAGGGGAGGGGTTGTAGGGCTTGAACTTAGGACCTAGGCTCTGTCCCTGAGCTCTTTCTTGAACCGCAGTTCTTCTGATTTTTTGGTGATTAATTGGAGAGTAACCTGTCTCAGCTGGCTTTTCTTTTTTGTATTTTTTTCTTTTTTGTTTATGTGGTATTGAGGAATGGAACCCAGGGCCTCATGCATACCAGGCAAGGACTCTACCACTAAGCCACATTCCCAGCCCTTTTTTTTTTCTTTTTTGCTGGTCCTGAGGCTTGGACTCAGGGCCTAGATGCTGTTGTCCCTGAGCTACTTTTTTGCTCAAGACTAGTGCTGTACTACTGTACCACTTGAGCCACAACTTGACTTCCCTGGGCTGGCTTTGATCCTTAGATCTCAGCCTCCTGAGTCTCTAGTATTACAGGTGTGAGCCACCAACACCTGGCAGAAAATGTTTTGACATTTGTAAATTGTCAGATTATATAAATGTGTATGGTAAATATTTATATTGATTTTAATATTGTTTAGTTGCAAAATAAAAGCAAATCATTACATAGATATCCAGCATTTCTATGCTTGTTTTTAATTTTAGTTTTTGAAATATTGGTTAATCTTAGATTGGCAAATACATCACTAAAAAGTGGCTACTTAAACTTTGTACCTTTGAAATTTTCTCAAGCATCTATCAACGTGTGTGTGTGTGTGTGTGTGTGTGTGTGTGTGTGTGTGTGCGCGCGCGCCAGTCTTGGAGCTTGAACTCATGCTGAGTTTTGCTCAAGGCTAGTGCTCAGCCTCTTGTGTTATAGTTCTACTTCCAGCTTTTGGTGGTTATTTGGAGATAAGAGTCAAGGACTTTCCTGCTTGGGCTGGCTTCAAACCATGATCCTCAGAGCATCTCAGCCTCCTGAGTAGGATTTCAGATGTGAGTTACCAGTCTCTGGCTTAAACATTTTCTTAAATTTATCATAATGTTAACAAAGTATAGTACATCAAGAAGTGAATATGGGGATTAGATAACCTCCTGGATCCATTTTTTAACACTATTTTTATTATAATCTGGCCAGAGCTGAAGATTGTAGAACACACAGAACTAGAATAAAATGAAGGATATCTTAAACATGCAAAGGAAAATGTGAAATTTTAAAACAAAATACTGGAAAATAATTTTATAAAGTCAAATCATGAAGTGGGGGGATAATTAAAATCACTAATGTTAGATATTAGAAGAAAATGAACCCAAACAAAAAATCAGAAAGGTAATAGAGGAAAATAAACTGAACTGAAAAATAACAAAATTGACCATTGAGAGATGGTTCTTTGCTGAGGACTGGAGAGATAAAAAAGTTAGATCTACTGGTGCAACCCTACTCAAGAAAAAGGGAGCATAAGTAGACATGGCTAGAAATAATAGTACTTGAGACAGGTACCAGTGGCTCACATCTATAATTACACCTACTCAGGAGGCTGAGATCTGGTTCATTCAAAGCCAGCCGGTGCAGGAAAATCTCCAATTAACCACCAGAAAACCAGAAGTGGGGGGCTGGGAAGGTGGCTCAGTGGTAGAGTGCTTGCCTTACATGCATGAGGCCCTGGGTTCAATTCCTCAGCACCACATAAACAGAAAAAGCTGGAAGTGGCGCTTTGGCTCAAGTAGTAGGGCACTAGCCTTGAGCTGAAGAGCTGAGGGGCAGTGCTCAGGCCCAGAGTTCAGGCCCCATGACCGACAAAAAAAAACAAACAACCAGAAGTGATGCTGTGGCTCAAGTGGTAGAGTGCTCACCTTGAGCTGAAGAGCTGAGACAGCACACAGGCCCAGAGTTCAAGCCGACAAAAAAAAAAAAAAAGAACTGTATTTGAACAGTAAATCCTTTATAAGTCTATAGAAATTAAGCTGGATTTTATTTTACTTCTTTTAAGGAAATCGAGTTATCAGAATTGACTCCAGAAGAGAAAACCTTGCAGACCAGTAACAATGGAAGAAATTGGGAAAGTCACCAAAAAGCCGTCGTCCTCCACAACACCAGGCTCGGCTGGCGTCTCAGGTGAATGAATTCTTCTAAACTGTCCAGGAACTGCTAGTATTGATAAAGTTGTTCCCCAGTATAAGGAAAAGTCATATTCTTTTTACAGGAGAGCACAATGGTACTGTTTGGTGTTGGTGTTGATCATGGGGCTTGAACTCAGAGCCTGGGCGCTGTCCCTAAGCTTTTTCACTCAAAGCTAGTGCTCTGTCACTTTGAACTAGAGCGCCACTTCTGGTTTTCTGGTAGTTAATTGGAGATTAGAGTCTCACAGACTTTCCTGCCCAGGCTGGCTTTGAACTGTGATCCTCAGATCTCAGCCTCCTGAGTAGCTAGGATTACAGGTGTGAGCCATCGGCATCTAGCTTATAACAACAAAACTCCATGGTGGAGATAGTACTAATGCTGAAAACTTGGTCTGTTGCCTGCAGTTTTAAGAAATGTTAAAATAATGACAGATGGTGGACTAGGGGCATAGCTTAGTGGAGAGTACTTTTTTACTGCACAACAAACTCTGGGTTCAATCCCCAATACCAGAAACTAAAATTGCAAATACTATGTAGCAGTATCTTTTCATATGCTAAGTAGGATTCATTTCCATGCCAAGAGGGTAGATAATGTATACTACAATGTGACTTAATATGTTTTACTTAAAAAAAAATTTTTTTTGTGCCAGTCCTGGGGCTTGAACTCAGAGCTTGGATGCTGTCCCTGAGCTTTTGTGCTCAAGATAGTACTCTACCACTTAAGCCACAGCTCCACTTCTGGCTTCTTAGGGGCTAATTGGAGAGAAGAATCTCACTGACTGCTACCTGGGCTGGCTTCAAACTTCTATCCTCAAATCCCATCCTCTTGAGTAGGTAGAATTATAGGCATGATACACTATTGCCTAGAGATTTTTTTCAGTGCTGGAGATTGAATGCAGGTTCACATACATGTTAGGCAAGTCTTCTACCACTGAGCTGTATCCCAGTTCCTATTTTGAATTTTTTAGTGGTACAAAAATCCTGTGCATTCATTAGAAACCATATTTGGTGGGCATTGGTGGGGCTGAGAGGGTGAGACCTGAGGATCACTATTTGAAGCCAGCCCAGACAGGAAAGTCCATGAGACTTATCTCTAAGCCCCTTTCTCCTCTCCGCCATCCCCCCCCCCAAAAAAAAAAGAGTGAGAAGTGGTAGAGGGCTTTGAACACAAAAGCTCAGGAACAGCGTTCAGGCTCTTTCTTGAGTTTAACTCCCAAGACCAACACACAAAATAAGAAACCCTATTTTGAGTTTTGTCTGTTTCTTGGATAGTGACAGCTGTCTTGAGATACAAGGCAGCAGCAGTGAGCACATGAGCCATGCAATCACAAGGGTAAACAATTGGTACTCTGTTGCTAAGCTATGGTGTTCAGTATCTATGGTATAGTAATGCATTGTTGCAGCCTGGGATATAGCACAGTGGTAGAACATGTGCTTAGTGTAGCATGTGCAAGGCCCTGGGTTTAATTTAATCCCCGGCACCAAAAAGCAATAAATGGCTGGGCATCAGAGTCTCACACATGTAATCCTAGCTACTTAAGAGAGTGAGATCTGAGGATCACAGCTCCTCGAAGCCAGCCTGAGCAGGAAAGTCTGTAGAATTCTTATCTCTAATTAACTACTTAGAAGCTAGAAGTGGAGTTTTAGCTCAAGTGGTAAAGTGCTAGACTTGAGCACAAAAGGTCAAGTACAGCACCCAGGCCCTGAGTTCAAGCCCCAGGACCTAGTACAAAAAAAAAGAAAAATGCTGAATCTTATTTAAAAGATTTAAATGGAAAAACAGTTCATCCAGGTCAAGTTTGTCAACATTGTTTAAAAGTAAAAGAGAGGGAAGAGTAGCAAGGTATATCTGTAATCCTAGCTACTAAAGAGGTTGAGATCTGAGGATCTTGGTTTGAAGCCAACTAACCCTGGCAAACAAGCCAGGACTCCAGCTAGGCACCAAAAAGCCACCAGCCAATTGAAAATGAGAAGGCCTGAATTCCAGCACCAACCTGTACTTCAGTACCGCATGTGCGCAAGTGCACACACACACACACACACAAGGGAAGAGGAGTAATGATCATATATAGAGGGAACAGGACAAATTATGTATGCTAAACCCATTTAATACAGGATTATGCCACCATACAAGGCCCTGAGGTAGTTCTGGTTTCAAATTAGATTTTACAGTATATTATTATATACCTTGCTCTTCAAACCTAATAGTTGTTGTTGTTGTTGTTGTATTGGTTGTGGGACTTGAATTCAGGGCCTGGGTCTGTCCCTGAGTTTTTCTGCTCAAGGTTAGTGTTCTACTACTTTGAGCCACAGCTCTACATCTGGTTTTCTGGTGGTTAATTGGACATAAGAGTCTCATGGACTTTCTGCCCACTCTGGCTTTGAACCACAATCCTCAAATCTTAGCCTGAGTAGCAAGGATTACAGATAGAAGCCATCATTGCTGGCTCTTTTTGCTTATTTTTCTAAATAAGCTAATGGGTAGATTGGGAGACAGAAGGGAACAAGAGGTAGTGAGTATGACTTAAGTCAGGTTGACTGCTAAAGAGACTTTAGCAAGGGAGACTTAAGTAGACCAGTGATTCTGGAGGAAAGTATATTTATTGTATATTTAATTGTATAGCTAATGGATATACAGCTTTTTCTCCCTCTGCACATTTCTTTTATGGATTTTTTTTTCAGTTGTTGGATATACCAGCAGCCCAACTCCAAGAGTGTGAAACATGCTTCCTAGGTATAATACCTCGGCCTGTGCCACTCTTTGGCCAGAATGTGTTTCACCCTCATATACATAGTGACTCCAGTTGAGCTTTCCAAGCTAGGCCAGAGGCCATATTCTGTCTGTCTTCCTAAGCTGCTAGTTAATGACTTATTTTTCTGTGGGGCTTTGACTCCTTGTTTCAAAGATTGTATTTGTAGCCAGACACTAGTGGCTCATGCCTGTAATCCTAGCTACTCAGGAGACTGAGATCTGAGGATTGCGGTTTAAAGCCAGCCTGGGCAGCAAAGGCCGTGAGACTCTTATCTCCAATAAAACCCCCCCACTAGAAAACCGGAAGTGGCTCTGTGGCTCAAGCGGTAGAGTGCTCACCTTGAGCTGAAGAGCACAGGGACAGCGCCCAAGCCCAGAGTTCAAGCCCCACGACCAACCCCAAAACAAAACAAAAAAACAAAGATTGTATTTGTTATCTTGTAGCTGAATTACTTGCCATCTTACCTCACATGACATGTATACCTGACATGCATACTCTTCATCTAATTTCTGTTCTAATCTTGCAGAGTAGATGGTATTAGCCTCAATGATTGCTATAGAAACTGAATCTCAGAAGGGTAAAGCATTTTGCTTGGACCACATTGTAACTTTATCATGTCTATCACTTATTGTTGGCCTTTTGTTGTCCATATTATGATCACCAGTGTCCAACTTTTTAAATCAGTTTCAAAGAATGACAAATTGAGCCAGGCGCCAGTGACTCACACCTACAATCCTAGTGATCTGAGAGTCTGCAAAGCCAGCCCAAGTAGAAAGTCCATGAGACTCTTTATCTCCAGTGAACTATTAGAAAACCCTCCAGAGGTGTGGTTCAAAGTGGCGGAGTACTAGCCTTGAGCAGAAGGAGCTCAGAGAGAACAGTGACTATGCCCTGAGTTCAAGCCCTATGACTGACCAAAAAGAAAAGAATGACTTAATGTGAAAGGTATTAAAAGGGGAAGCATAGCATTATAAACAAAATCACTTTAGCTTTTTCACAAATGTATTTTGATAAAAATGGGATTGTTTCATAGTACTATTCTATGTCAAAAAGTACTTTTTTGTTTTTGTTTTTTTGTCAGTAATGGGGTTTGAGTTCAGGCTCCTTAACTTGCTAGGCAAGTTGTCTTCCACTGGAGGGAGCCATGCCTCTTGTTTTTTAGGTAACGTTCTAGCTGGTCTTTGTTGTGTGTGTGTGGACGTCAGTCCACCTCTTAGGCTTCCTATAAGTAGTTGGGAGTACAGGTGTGAACTGGATTATTGGTATCCAGCCCTCCTTTTTCTTTTCTGTAGTACTGTTTATTGATTGAATAAGGGATCATCTAAATTTCATAAACATCACTAACTATTCAAAACTTGATACTAAACCTTAAAGCAGTTTTAAGTATTCCTTTATTTGTAAAGATTATAGAATAGCCAAGTGCTGGTAGCTCGTGCCTGTACTCCTGTTGCTGTTCAGGAGGTTGAGATCTGAGGATCATGGTATCAGGAGCAGAAAAGTCCCCATGAGACTCTTATCTCTAATGAAACACTCAAAAAATGGGAGTTGGGCTGTGGCTTAAAGTGATTGAGCACTGCCTTGAGTAAAAGAGCTCAGGAACACAGCCCAGGCCCTGAGTTCAAACCACACAACTGACAAAAACAAATAAATGCTAGTATAATAAACCAGGCACATTGCTGACTCATGCTGCCAGTCACAGCCACTCAGGAAGCTAAGATTTGAGGATTTTAGTTCAGAGCCAAGTTGGTAGCTAGCCTAGGGAAGAGAAATGTGAGAGACTCTTGTCAGCGTTTAACTAGCAAAAAGCTAGAACTGGAAACATAGTTGAACTGGTAGTGGGCCAACCATAAGTGATAAAAGCTGAGTGAGAGCTCAGGTCCTGAGTTCAAGCCCCAGTACTGGCACACACACACAAGAAGATTAATCCTAGTTTCTCAGGAGGCTGAGATCTGACGATGCAGTTCAAAGCAAGCCCAGCCAGAAAAGTCATGAAACTATTATCTCCAATTAACCATCCCCCAAAAAAGCTAGAAATGGAGCTGTGGCTCAAGTGGTTAGCCTTGAGTACAAAAGCTCAGAAACAGTGCCCAGGCTTTGAGTTCTAGCCCCTGAACCAGCGCGCGTGTGCACGCGCGCACACACACACACACACACAGAGAATTGTGTAACATCTCATCATGTAGATAGATCCATCTTCCTCTTCCTTATTGTTGAACCTGTTGAGGATTCAGCATTTTCTGGTAAGAAAGAGCACTGTGTGACAAACTGGGAATGGTGAATTGCCTCTGTTATACCAGTTACAGGAGAGGCAGAAATAGAAAGATAGGGTCTAAGGCTCACTACAGGCAAAAATGTGAGGCCCTATTGGAAAAACAAATGAAGCAGAAAGGGCTAAGAAATGGCACAAGTGCTAGAGCACCTGCCTACCAAGCATAAGGTTCTGAGTTCAAACCCCAATACTTCCATATAACAACAAAAGAACCACTGATCTAAAGCCAGGTGTGTTGGCAAAGTCCTTTAATCCTAACACTTGAGAGGCAGGCAGGATAATCTTGAGTTTGAGGCCAAACCGGGCTACATAATGAGATCCTGTCAATTACAACAAAACAAAAATGAGAACTCTATTAATATGAATAAGGAACTGATCTAGTCCATAATGTCCATAAATTGGAGGAGAGTTGAGGGGATATTTTATGTGTTTTGACTTTATATAAAACCTGTGTTATGTATTAATTGTAGGTTAAAAAAAATCCTTCATGAAGAAGAACAATCTTAAGCAACATGATGGATTCAGAAGCTCATGAAAAGAGGTCACCCATTTTAACATCTTCAAAACAAGAACTGTCACCTCACATGACAAATGTTGGTGAAATGAAGCATTACTTCTGTGGTTGTTGTGCAGCTTTCAACAATGTAGCCGTCACGTTTCCCATTCAGAAGCTCCTCTTTAGGCAGCAGCTGTATGGAATCAAAACCCGGGATGCAGTACTTCAGTTGAGAAAGGATGGATTTCGAAACTTGTATCGTGGAATCCTTCCCCCATTAATGCAGAAAACAACGACACTGGCCCTTATGTTTGGTCTGTATGAGGATTTATCTTGCATTCTCCGTAAGCATGTTAGTGCTCCCGAGTTTGCAACTCGTAGTGTGGCTGCAGTGCTTGCAGGGACCACAGAAGCCATTTTCACTCCATTGGAAAGAGTTCAGACATTACTTCAAGATCACAAACATCATGACAAATTCACAAACACATATCAGGCTTTCCGGGCACTGAAATGCCATGGGATTGGAGAGTATTATCGAGGTTTGGTACCTATTCTGTTCCGTAACGGATGCAGCAATGTCCTTTTTTTTGGCCTTCGGGGTCCCATTAAGGATCATCTCCCTACTGCAACAACTCGCAGTGCTCATTTAGTCAATGACTTCATCTGTGGAGGTCTTTTGGGTGCCGTGTTGGGATTCTTGTTTTTCCCAGTTAATGTTGTAAAAACTCGCATACAGTCTCAGATTGGTGGGGAATTTCAGTCTTTCTCCAAGGTTTTCAAAACAATCTGGCTAGAACGGGACAGAAAAGTGGCAAATCTTTTCAGAGGTGCACATCTGAATTATCATCGGTCCCTCATCTCTTGGGGAATAATCAATGCAACTTACGAGTTCTTGTTAAAGGTTATATGAAAAAGTTATCAGTGAAATGCCACTTATCAACTAAACAGACCTAAGAAGAATGTAGTTTGGTCTTGTTACTAATAGGCCTAAATGAAGTTGATACAAAGTCCATACTACAGTAAATTATGGGCAATGATGTTGTTAAGCACCGACAAAAAAGACTTAAGAGGATTCAGTAGGAGAAAGTAAGGGTTTTTCTTTTGTTTTTAATCATTACCCAAGAGATTTAGGCTAATTGCCTGGCAAAAAGATATCTGATTGCTTTTGAAAGGGTAACCTAATGGCCAAGATACGGTTCATTTTTCTCCTGAAATAGCTTTTAAGCTTTCTCTGTTGAAACTTAATGACCTTGAGCAGCCAAAGGAAATGCTCTTAACACCTGTGACTTCTCAGGCTTCCTTAATGTGCTACTCCATTTCTTCTTTGCTCTAAGGAATACTTGCAAAAGATTTATTAAACTCAAATATGGTAGAACAGAACAGAGGAGAAAAACAGCTTAGTTAGTAAGGCTATTTCTTGATGAATTTGTTGGTATTAGTTAAGCACTTGTTGAGATAGTCTTTATGTAGACTGTTTGTTTTAACTTGGTAGAATCAACCAGCTAATAAAAAGTTCCCATTTTGCTATCTATCTAGCTTGAAAAGTTTTCTGTTTAGTTTTTTACTTTAAGCCCATCTAACTTAACTGTTTCATTCTGGTAGTAAATTGTTAATTGCACATAGATCTTTGATTAGTTTGGTTTATTTCAATTATTAGTGCCACGTTAGTAGAAGATGTTCCCTTCTCCCCCTAGTCGTCATTTGTCCGATTCAAGCAGCCTGTTCTCCTGAAACTATACTTTTTAAAAAACGCTTCCATAAAAGTTTATTTTGGAAGTCCGTTAATATAGTCCCAAGTTTTCTTTTTGCTCTGTTTCTAAATGTTACAGGGGAGAAAATAAAGCTCAGGACAGTTCTTGCCCCGCAGCATTAGCTGTCTTTTATTGTCTTTTATTAACTTCTTTAGGATTGTGATATTTGTGGAACCCAGTTTTACCACTGTCATTAAATCAAGGTAGTTTAAGAGCACATGATCTAAATATATTGGAAGGGTTATTTTGAATTTTAGAGGTTGATATTAACAATGTAGCATCCTCATCCCTCACATAATGAAATTGTCCAAAGAATCAGAAAATAGTAAGAACATTTTTTGCCCAATAAACGAAACTGACTCACATACACCCAACTGAATAGAAACATCATGGAGATGTTGGAGAAGTAATTTATGAATCTTTTTGTTGGCTATGGGGCTTGAACTCAGGACCTAAGCGTTGTCCATTAGCCTCTTTGTGCTCAAGGCACTCTACCACTTGAGCTATAGCACCATTTACAGTTCTTGAGTGGTTAATTGGAGATAAGAGGCTGATGGAGACTTTTCTGCCTGGGCTGGTTTTGAATCACAATCCTCAGATCTCAGCCTCCTGAGTAGCTAGGATTATAGGCATGCACCACTGACAACTGACTATGAATCTTTTTTTAATCTGTAAATACTAGTTAAAATTTGACATGAGGCAGTAGGTAGGTAGGTTTGTACCCCTCCGACCCCCCCTTTTTTTTTGGTGCTAGGCATAAAACCCAGCCCTTTGTACATTGTAGGCAAGTGTTCTACCATGAGCCATACCTCCATGCTTTTAAGGTAGGTTTCTTATTACCAGTTTTTCATCTCTCTAGGTAATTGCATGCAAATATGTGCTCATACCAACCAAAATGAAATCATCTTCAACTGGTACATTGAGTTTCTGGGAAGATAATCTAAAACAGTATGATTAAAGTGGTCATTCTTCATCTAGCAGTAAAGGAGTGGGAAGCATATAAAGCACAAGCAAGGCTAATTAGCATCACACAGCTCTACTGGGCAATTATGTGCGGATACATCAGGGATCAAAATACAGATGTGAGGATTTCAGAAATCAATAATTTGATGCCAAATAAATTTGAGTAGTGCCCTTTGGATTGTAGAATCAAGAACTGAAGGGAGGTGGGTTCCAGCACTGAAAAGATAGCACCTTGGTTCCAGATCACCTCATTAGCCACCCACAGGCATGTGAGTTAGCCAGGGAATGGGCTTCACTAGGTTTTCAGTGCTGAGACTTGTTATTTTCTTTTTTAACACTCCATGTAGGTGGTCAAGATTTAAGTTGTACAGCACTTTTGTGAAATAGAAGTGAAGGGAAAAATTAAAAAGAAAAACATTTTCATTTTTGCTGTCCCAAGCATGGTGTTTAGAAAGTTATTAATATTTTAATGATTTTTCATGGTTTTTAATTTTTTTGCCACTCTTTACAGCTCTTGAAGACCAAACTGCAAATATATCACTAGCGATGGTGTTATGTTGTCCTATACACTTCTTAAATTTGACAAAAAGTTCAGAATCTGTAGAAACAGCTTTATCTGAATTTTAATGTCAAAATGTATAATAAATTCTAACTAGTGTTTTTGCATTCAATATGACTAGTGTAATAATTTTTTAAAGGCAAACATGATTGAGTACCTGAAAGTCTTTTAAAGTGGCCTTTCTGTTACATATGTGGCATAGGCAGTTCATAGGCACAGACTTTATTTGAAGTCTTGTGTCACATGCTTTGGGTCTGATGCCACCAGAAATGTGTTATGAATGCTGTATTTAACATACTTGGCGTGGTATGAGCCCTTGAGGACTGCACCACAGAGTAAACACAGCCTTTGTATGGTAGCAAATTTGTATCTAACTTCATTTGTGCTTGGGGAGAAAGTTGATGTTTTTGTCTAAATAGTCTTCATCTTATGGTTGGTTATGTAATTAATACACTGTTACCTGTGCAATAAAACAGAATCGTGTATATACAATTGTATAGCTCAATTACAATGGTAATACAAGCTGTAACAACCTGTAAGGGAGTAATAAGTATAACAGGATATATGACATGGTATCTAAGGGACTGACTTTGAGTAGTCAATCATGTTGAACTAAAACCGGTGCAGTGTGGATAACATATTGTAGTGTTTGGCGTGGCAGCTGTAAAATGAAGGCTAGGCAGGAGATTATGTTGGAAGAAAAAAGGTAAGCTCTCAGACTTGGGTTCCTTTATGTTAAGACACATTTCTTTTAATGTATGAATAAAATGCACATCAAAGACTTGAATTACATTCTCTAAGCTTAAGGATTTTTAGTTTTTAGTGCTATCTTTTTGCTAATAAATGCCTAAATGGATCCCAAATTGGGTGAGAGCTCTCTGAATGTTTCTTCTCTTAAAATTTCTTTAAAAGTGGCTAAGCACACAGAACTATTTTGTTGGCTCTTTTGAGTTACGAGTTTGATGGCATTAAATGATTACTGGTTGACATGTTTTTGGTAACTGGAATGAAGTTTGTTTTGGGAGTCCATCTTACTTGATGTTTTGTGGTTGGGTAGCCCTGACCTTTTCTGTGGCAGGCTGTCAGTATTTTTGTTGATAAATATTTAGCATGCTGACTTGATGTTTAGTAATTCACTTAAGAACTTGTTTCATCAGACAAATTTTCATTTACCCATCCTGTGTGACCAGGAGGGGTTCCACTTAAGTTAACTTTCCAGATGACTGTAAAGCATTTTTTTTTAGAGTTTTTCTCAACTGTAATAAACTTTCTTACTGAATGTGAACTTTCTTGGCAAACTCAGCCTATCAGTCATTTCTGTTGTAATGGTGTTCTTTCAGGTAAAGCTTACCCCCAAGTTAACTGGACCAGTTTATTTTACTTTTGTTTTATAGTTGCTTCTCGTTGTTGCTAATTGGTTGGAAGAATGTAAAGTTACTCATTACATTGTATACTGTCCATTTACATGACTGTTCCCTGTCCCTAGAAATAGTTGAGGGTGCCTATGGAAGGGTGCTTAGGCACAGGAGCGGTCCTCTAGGGTGCTTACACAGTAAGTGAATATCTTGAGCTTTAAACTTAAGTTAGTAAGGAGAGAAGACATTTGATCATTTTATCTGGTAAAGTGTCATTTTTACCTGCCTACTGCTGGCTTAGAGTTCTAGATGTCTCCCCTAGAAGGAGGGGATTAAGTATGGCCAGAAACGGCCCTGGGGAGCTCTGTCCAGCTGTGGCCATACCACCAACCTCCCAGGTGCTAGCTCCCAGTTTCAGCTAGGAAATTGAAATTCCCTGCTAGGAAATATTTTTCCCAAATGAATCCGTGATTTTGAGGCAAAACAAAATTAAATTTTATCTTCCTTGCTGGGCTCTGATACCTCACACCTGTAATCCTAGCTGCTTGGGAGGCTGAGATCTGAGGACTGCAGTTCAAAGCCAGCCCAGGCAGGAAAGTCCATGAGACTCATCCAAATAACCATCAAAAAATGCAGAAGTGGAACTGTGATTCCAGCAGTAGAGCAGTAGCCTTGGCGGGGCTTAAGGACAATTCCCAGACTCACCTTGGTATTAACCAAGCCATCTTCCTTTGGCCTACATATTTCTGTCAGGAATCTTTAAAAAATGAACACTTCTCTGCCACTGAAACCAAATACCTCATCATGATCTGTAGGTAGTTTCTGCCTCCTTCCAGATAAAATGGCCTGACTACATTTTTGCACTCTAACCACCACATCCTAAATGCTACCTTTCTCTACTTAGGAACTCTTGGAGGCATAAACGTCAGTTCAGATGTCTTGTCCCTCTTGGGAAAATGGAGGGCCTGTTTTCAGGACTAGATGAGGTTTCCTGGTGTGCTTCCTGTGTCACTTTATTGTTTTTTTCATTGCACTTAACCTGTTTTATTACTTGGTGCCTATTGCCCATGTGGAATCCCCGATCTGAATGCCAAAAACTGCTTCAGTTCCCACTGCACCAGTGTGTACCTGCTTCAGGGTATATGCCTTGTAAGTATTTCTTTAATAGTAAATTGGCAGCAGGTGCTGGTGCTCACACCTATAAATCTTAGCTACTCAAGAGACTTGAGTGTCATGGTTCAAAGCCAGCCAGGGCAGGAAAATCCATGAAACTCTTCAATGAACCACCGGAATACTGGAAGTGGTGCTGTGGCTCAAAGTGGTAGTGAGGGCTAGGAAAGTGCTCAATGATAGAGTGCTTGCCTTTCATGCATGAAGCCCTGGGTTCGATTCCTAAGCACTACATAAGCAAAAGATGCTGAAGTGGTGCTGTGGCTCAAGTAGTAGAGGTCTAGCCTTGAACTAAAGAGCTGAAGGTTAGCGCCCAGACCCCAAATTCAAGCCCCACAACTGACAAAAGAAAAAACTAACAGTTCTAGAGCAAGTGTCTAGCAAGGGCAAACCCTGAGTTTTGATTTCCATCATAGAAAAACAAAACTTGGTGATAGAATGATCATCCTTTGTGGGGCGGGGTTTGAACACAGGGCCTGTGTGCTATCTCTGAGCTTTTTGGCTAACAGTAAGTACTCTACCATTTTGAGCCACAGTGCCATTTCCAGTTTTCTAGTGGTTAATTGGAGATAAGAGTCTCACGGGGACTTTTCTGCCTGGCCTGCCTTCGAGCTGTGATCCTCAGATCTCAGCCTCTTGAGTAGCTAGGATCACAGGTGTCAGCCACCAGTGCCCAGCCACCTAGTTTCTCTTGAGTTGGTGTCCTTATTCCTATGCAACACAACATCCTGAGCCATATCTAACAAAATGTTTGCTGAATGAAAGACAAATTTTTGTTTTGAGACAGGGCCTTGCTATGGAATCAAGATGGCCTCAAAGGGCTGGGAAGTTGGCTCAGTGGTAGAGTGCTTGCCTTGCATGCCTGAGGTCCTGGGTTTGATTCCTCAGCACCACATAAGCAAAAAGAAAAAAGCCAGAAGTGGTGCTGTGGCTCAAGTGGTAGAGCACTAGCCTTGAGCTGAAGAGCTGAGGGACAGCGCCTAGGCCCAGAGTTCAGGCCCCACAACTGGACCCTCCCCCCCCCAAAAAAAAGATGGCCTCAAATCTTGATCCTTTTGCTTTATTCAGCCTCCCAAGTACAAGGATTATAGGTATGTACCACTATACCTGGCAAAAATATGAAACAAACCTGAGTCTTTTCTTTTGTTGTTGTTGGTCGTGGGGCTTGAACTCTGGGCCTGGGCGCTATCCCTCAGCTCTTCAGCTCAAGGCGAGCACTCTACCACTAGAGCTATAGCGCCACGTCCGGTTTTCTGGTGATTTATTGGAGATAGGAGTCTCACGGTCTCTCCTGCCCGGGCTGGCTTTGAACCGTCATCCTCAGATCTCAGCCTCCTGAGTAGCTAGGATTACAGGCGTGAGCCACCAGTGCCCGGCTCAAACCTGAGTCTTAATTTGAAGTTTTTCAAGTTAATGAGACATGCTTATTTATGGTCAGAATAAATCTTACCCAGATGAAGACAGTCTCCTCATTATAATAATAAATGATCTTTCACTAGTGCTGAATAATTTGCATATGATGTTCTGGCTTCATGGGAGCCAGAGGCCACATATGCCGAAAGTTTGATTCTTTCAACAACCACTCTGTGTCAGTCCTGCCTGTATCAGGCACTAAGCATACAAAAATAAATGAGATAGTTTTTACTCTCTAGGAGCTTAGTTTAGTATATGAAATTCAAGGCACCTTAGAAACTACTGAAAAAACTTTCTGGGTATCTAGCATATCATTCAGAACATTCCAAGACTCCTAAAAATATGAATCAAATTTAACAGAAAGTACAGTTTGAAAGTGAAAGATGCAGAAAAATTTAGGAGGCAGTTCAAATAGTCTTAAATGTGAAAAGCATGAAAAATAAATGGGGGAGAAATGGGAAAGCTAAAGACTACCTATTTTAAAGACTCTGGACCAGATTTAAATTTGAAAAATTATTTTATTATTTCTGGTAACATTTTCACTTACAGTGACATTTTCTATACACATACATGGGAGGTGCGTATGAGATGTGCTCCTTGCTGCCATTGATAAAACCCACATCTCTGCCATTAATTCATTTACAACTGAAGAGAGCAGCATAAAGCTAAATTGGAGACTTTTCATAAAAATTTCCATTATCATTTGAATGGGAGACATTCTTAGGATATCATTTAGAATCATCTCTAAGATTACATTTTAGTACAATTTTATTCTACAATGAGACTAAACCATGTCTTTGTAACAATGTAACAATTTAATCATATATTTTAATGGTTACTGACGAAGTTTCGTGGCTACTAAAATAGTCTTAAATCTATCTGGATTTCTTCCTTTTTTTTTTCCTGCTTTTTAATTTTTTTTGTAAAAACATAAAACCCCTGTGCAAATACAGAGCTTTTGTTGTTGCATTGCTGTACTTTGGTACATTTCTATTTATAGCTTAATCTAGCAGCATCCTTAGTTTGTAGTATCTTACTGAAGAGTAAATGAAAAATCACTAGTTTAGGCTTTACCTGGGAGCTTCTGTTAGCTAGAAAGTAAGTAGAAAATAATCAAAGGAGCTACCTCACAGACTGTGAGCCAAGTTTGTCCAGCTTTTTCAGCAGACTCTGAACAGGCTTGATTATCTCATGTCCCAGCTTATCATGGTTGAAACAGCACATTAGAAGAAAAGTGGGAGCATGTTGACAGAATACACTATTTAGCAGATATAAAACTTTTTTTTTAACCTCAGAGTTGAGGGGATCACATTGTAAGAGACATTAACTCATATTTGTTATAGCCCTTTAAATTTTATGAAATGGGATATATATGTCTTTATATGTATCAGAGCTCATTGGGTATTTCATAACACATTATGAATATAACTTTCATCATGAAAAAGTGAATTATACTGAACATGCTATTTAAGAAGGCAGGGAAGTATACTAACATACCTGAAAGACTTGCATCAAAAATAATTACAAGTTTTTAAATTTGGCACTTAAGAGATATGTATTAGCTATCCAAAATTCATATATATGGTTTCTTCCTGACCAACATAAGGTGTTTCTAAGTGGATTTTCACAGCACTCAATTATAGCTGGCCATTAAGTGGGGATGATTGTCATCAGTAAGTTGTCAAACATTTCTCCTGCAAACACAAGTTTAACAGACAGTTATGGATACCAGTACCATGTATATTCTGACTAATGCTGGAACCACTAAACTTCTAAAAGAGTCTCAGAACATTTTCCCTTTACTGCACTTTCTAAGAGAACACAACATTAAGAATGATATAATATGAACTTGGTTCTAGACACAAGAATAGGGAATATGTGATTTACCTTCTCCTTGCTTGTTTTCTTAACTTTTGATATAACATCTTCTCAGGGATGTAACAAGAAATAACAAAATGCTTTGAGCTTCTGAGAAAAAAAGAGTACACATTTTTAAAAGACTAAATTAGAAGCATTTTTGTCTTTTGCCACTTGGGTTTCAAAACTGAAAATAAAACATTCTATATTTGATGTATGTAACTGATTCAACATGGCACTACCATAAACATACTGTCTGGAGTCAGCTTTTAACCAGGAGAACAATTTATACATTTACCAATAATGCTTCTTACCAATTATAATATGCTTACCAATTATCATCAATAAAAATGACTGACTATAAGAGTAAAAAAAATCAGATTAGGTATGTTCTAAGTAAAATGGGACATGGAAAGTATAATGAGTAATTCAAATAGTGTTGTATTCATAAGGCCATTTAATTCCTTGACTAATATTTCTTGGTGACTTTTTAAATATGATTATACCTCAAAGAGGGCAAAATTTGTTTGTGCTGTTGCTAATTCTCATTTTTATGGCTCTATTTTTACATAAGGATATTCATCCTCCAGTTTTTTTTCTAGCTTATCTTATCTTGCTTGAGGATATTTAGTTAGGAATGGATAATGTGTATGCCCCAAGTTTATTATCTTCATTCCCACGGAAACTTTCAGTCTTGTAAATATTTTTTTGCTTGGTACAGATGGTAATAAGAAAAGGTTCCAGAAGATACTAAACAAGCAAAGTAATAGGCCAGTTTACCAGCCTTTACCAGTTAAAGGTAAAGTGATAGAGTAGTAAGCAATCTTTGGGTAAAACAGACAAATCTAGGTTTGAATCCCAGTCCAGCTACCCATAGCCAACTGTGACTTCAGGACAAGTCACTTAATCTTTTTTACCTATCACAACCTCCAAAGTTAATTTGAGGTTCATTCTACCTATCTTGCAAGTTTTGGGGGGAGGGCTAGTAGTAAAGTAGGCACATTATTTAACACATAATACTTGGGACTAGTGGATCAAGAATTTAGAGTTTGGTGACATTAGGTTCAGCGTCTGACATCAAACCTTTCCAAATTTATACAATTTATGGAATCTTACATATCAATTTGATCATTATTATTTTTAATGTTTTTGGGTGTTTTCCTTCAAAACAGTATTTGCTTTTAATTTTTTAAAAAATTATGAAAGGCCTATTTTTTAATGTGTTCTGTAGTAATTTTTTCAATAACTACAAAATTTTAATTTTTGCAATATCCATGGTAAGATTATCTAATTATAAAAATGTATCCTAGAGCCAATATAGTTCCAAGTGAGATAGCACCTCTTATGAATGTATGCAAATGGCTGTTCTTCATGTCTTACAAAGAAATGTCATTTTTATTCAAGTATTTGGCTCACTTTAACATTTCTCTCAGGTTTAAAATACTTTTCTTCTCATGACTGAAATTCTCAGAATTTACTCTCATGCCTTCCATTTAAATCTATTGGCCATCTTAGGGGTACACAACAATATAGCTTAAAGACAAAGCATCTTTATAGTACTTAATAGAGTAGAAACTGCCCTGAGCAAGTTTCTTAGGAAATCTGAATTTAATTAGGAGGACTGAATTCAAGCACTGGCTTTGCTTTTAACTTTGCATAACCTTTTCTTTTCTTTTCAAATAATACAACTCATTCCATTCCAAGTTATTTTCTACTTCTAAAATTGTTTTCATTTACTATTACTATTCAAATATTCAAAACATCTTGTAGGGACTGTTTTAAGCACCAAGTGGATACAGAAGTACTGAGTGCTGTTTATAAAGGTTTCCTTTTCTCCCCTCGCCCCCAACTATTATCTGGAGACTACTTGAATAAAAATTACTGAAGGTTTCTGTTAAAAATACATATTTCTATTGTCCCCTTCCTGAAGGTAAGGCCCAGGTTTATGCATTTTCCCTTCATTATATTTAGCCTAAAGAAGTCTGTGACGTAAAAGGACAAGGTTAGTGCTGTGGCCTGAATTACTCCAGCTTCTGGAAATCACTTCTCAACACAATGGCATTCAACAGAGCAGCATTCTTGTGCTTAGTCTCTGCCTGATGCTTTTACTTGCCACACATTTCATAACAAAATCGAAAACAGGTATTCCTATGGGCACTTAATCTTGCCATCATGTGACCGACTCCAGGGTTATAACAACACGTTGAATAGGACTATAGTTCTCTGCTTACTAATAGTGAAACAGTTGAGCCTATGACTCCTGGCACAAGGAAGACAGACAATAAAATGTCACCATTGTACTCTTGATTCCCCTGTCAACACCAATACGATTAATATATCCTGTGTGGTTCAAAGAATCACAGAAAATCACAATGTTTTTATCACTCTCTGACTCGATATTTGCTAATCTAAAAAATAAATCCTTTTCTGTACAACAGAAACGATAAAGCCTATTCCTTTTCTCTTTTAGCAATGCTGTTATAACAACAAAATACCATTAAGGACACATGCTCAAGACTTAACATTCATACAAGTAAATTATTGAAAGAGGGATGGTATTATTTTTTACAACAAAATCTTTGTTAAATGAAAAACTGTGTGAAATTTTAGCAGGAAACTTAAATGACATTTTGTTGCACCGACTAAACTCTTATGACAATTACTCCATTCTCTATGCTCAATATAGAGAAATATAATAGCAACTTTAAAAGGCCAAATATACTAATAAATGAAGGTGAAATGTCTTTTTCAACAACCGGTATGCTAACAGCCTACTACTTCTGGGTTTTATTTAATACCAGTGCCATGAGTTTCTTTTATCTCAATCAAATTCCTGCCAAATCTCCACAAAATTCGTGAGAAAAACCAAAACAAGAAAAGGAAAAGGAAAGAAAAGGGGAAAAGAAAGGAGGGACAGAGATTAGGAAGGCAGAGAATTTAACAAGATCTACCATGCAAAATAATCAGAAGAACAGTTCAATGGCACAGATCAGCAGGAGCAGAGGAATGTTGAAAAAGATGATGCTGCATAGAGTCTAACTTGGAGATGCCCGTAATGATGCTGGATGACCAAGTAGTCAGGTCACGGGTATGTTCATAGACCCCTAAGAACCAGGGTCTTGACCCAAACTTGTAAGATCTTCTAAAAAGAAAATACTTCACCTAAATGGAAGTAATTTATAAGTCAAACACCCAAAGAGTCCCTTATTTGACATAAGTTGTGCCTAAAACTTTGGCTGATACAAAGAAACTCGTCCACTAAGGCACCCTGAGGCAATCTGACAATGTGTCGGAGAGAACTTTGTTGTCAGTACCACATCATTATGAGAGTACAGAGAACGGATCACCCGGAGGGGACTGGCTTCTTTGGGTAAACAGTCAACTAGTTCACTGCACAGTTTGTCAAATCCCAACAAACGAATCCCATAACCATGTGGAGAAGAAATCATTCGCCCATCAGGGCTGAAGCAAAGTTCTTTGATGTAACCTCTGCCTACGTTGGCTTCTTCGATGTAATGAGTCAGTCGTAGGGAACAGCGAGGTGAGACGGGTCGCACTGGAGCTCCTTCTTGGAATTCATAGACACAGGTCCACTAGGGGAAGAAAAGAGAGACAAACTAGTTATCAAGCCCCAAACAGTGCTACACATATACTTCATCTTTGAAAAGCTAAACTAAATGCCCAAACCACAGATTATTGAAAGAAATCTATTAGATGAATGCTATCCCCCTTCCAACTGACAAAAACCTGTCTAATTTTCTGTCTTCATAAGCTGAAGTGATTCTGCACTGTGATGCTTTAAAGCCTTTTGTTCTCTGAAGATGCCTATGTATTCCATAGTAATACATTTCCTTTTCTGAGGGTAACAATAACCTTAATATTTAAAACATTCCTGGCCTGGGCACCAGTAGCTTACATCTGCAAGCCTAAGTACTCAGGAGGCTGAGAACTAAGGATCACAGTTCAAAACCACTTAGGCAGGGAAATCTATGGGACTTTTATCTCCAATAAACTACTCAGAACAAGCTGGAAGTGGCACTGTGTCTCAAGTGGTAGAGCTCTAGCCTTGAGCACAAGAGGCTCAGGGACAGCATCTAGGCCTGAGTTCAAGCCTCAAGACTGGCAAAACAAACACATGCACAATACCAACAACAAAAAAATTCCTGGAATATATCCAAGCCTTTAGAACACCTTTCTCTAGAGTCAGAGAGATCCTTGAAGAGCCTTTCTTTCCAGAATGATGGGACCAGAGATTTCCTAGATTTTTTTTTTTTTTGGTCAGTTGTAGGGCTTGAACTCTAGGCCTGGGCACTGTCCCTGAGCTTTTCAGCTCAAGGCTAGCTCTCTATCACTTGAGCCACAGCTCCACTTTTGGTTTTCTGGTACTTAATTAGAGGTAAGAGTCTCATGGACTTTCCAGACTTTCCTGCCCGAGGTAGCTTTGAACCATGATCCTCAGATCTCAGCCTCCTGAGTAGCTATGATTACAGCATGAGTCATCGGCATCCAGCGTCTTAGATTTTTAAAAAGAAATTTATAATTGGCTTGCCAAATATCACATTTAGACAACTTAGCTGAAATATCTCAGTGTTGTGTTTAATATATAAGCTGTTTCTTGTTTTTTTAAACAATGAGACCAAGCAGGCAAGAATTAAGCAGCTAGGTATAAACTGGGCTGATCATGATCTTTAGAGTTCTTCTCAGCTTACACACAGAAGAGGAAGAAACCTTTCTAAGGGATAAAGATAATATAAAGGAGCAGAGAACAGAAACAGGAAAAGTTGAGAAGCAGACAGTATGCCCCTGAAGGGCAGGCAATCAGCCTAAGGACACAGGACAAGGACATTTTGTCCAATGAACTCTGATGAAAGTGGAGTGCTGCTGGGGGTGCCAGTGGCTCACACCCATAATCCCAGCTACTCAGGAGGCTGAGATCTAAGGATCCTGGTTCAAAGCCAGTCCAGGAAAGAAAGTCTGTGAGACTCTTATCTCCAATCAATCACAGAAAAAGCCAGAAGTGGAGCTGTGGCTAGAGTGCTAGCCTTGAGCAAAAGGAGCTCAGGGATAGCACTCAGCCTAGAGTTCAAGCTCCAGGCCCAGCAAAAAAGAAAGAAAGGAGGGAGGGAAGAAGGAAAGAAGAAAGGAAGGAGAGAGAGAGAGAGAAGAGTGCAGCGGCCTATACCTCCTGATCATCAGTGTTGCTTGAGCACCGAAGAAGAGTGGCCCAGCCTTTGGGGTGCAGCTGCAAGGATGTGATGCAGTTTCCGCGGTCCCTCTCACCAGGAACTTCAGGGGTTAAGACTTCAAGACTATTTCGTGGTGAAACTCCTGAGATACAAGAAAATGAGAATTTGGGATGTAACTTATCCAAATGCAAGGACTAAGACATTTCACAAAGCTGTGATTTCTGGCAGCCACTTCCTATGCCTTTATCCCTTAGTCTGTGAACATATGGCTTTTGAGTTTGTAGGAAAGGGAATGGGGAAAGAGGATGAGTACAAAGAATCCAAGTTTCTACAATTTATCACCAATGATCTACTGGGGTCCTTGGGAATTAGATTTCTCAAAAAGCTCATTAAGAACTACAGTAATTTGACAGAACAGTTCAGATGCTTCTCTACTTACAATGGGGTTAATAAATTCACTATAAGTTTAAATTATTGTAAGTTGAAAATGCATTTAAATATACCTAACCTACTGAACAGCATAGATCAACAATATAATATACTGGTCAGAATTGGTTATTTCCATAATTGTGTTGTTTTCCAGAATCATGATAAAATATGATATTCTATATTGCTAGTCTGGGAAAAGATCAAAATTCAAATTTAAAGTGTGATTTCTATTAAACACATATCATTTTTAGGCCACTGTAAAGCTGAATAGTCATTAAGTTGAACAGCTATTAAACTGGAAACTGTCTATTCTATAAACAGGAAATTAGCTACAATTATGGCGATGAGAGAGGACACTTCACATGGAGGCATGTCAAAACAAGAAATGGAAGACATTGCCAATCATACCATCTTCCTGGTAACTCTACTATTCCACATTGTTTTCTTCTACCTAGCCCCCAAAGAAAATGACTATCATATTAAGACATTATTACTAACAGGGATATGTCATATTCCTTTGGTATGTGAAAAACTGCTTTAATTGACACTGTAAGAAAGCAGTTTAGAAAGTTTTTATAAAAAAAACATTTGATTGAATTTGTTGTTGGTAAGATTGAAAAATCCAACTTTTAACCTACCTTCTCTTTGAGAAGCTCGTGACATGTGTTTCTCAGAAGATGAATTAGAGTCACTGTGATGACAAGGTGAACCAAATACTCTAGGACCAGATGAACTTGACAAAGTAGTCAAATCTTGAAGAAAAATAAAGTTTGACAATAAACTTGTAGTATTACCTGTAGTATCTCTTAACTGTTTCTTTTTCTTTTTTTGCTAGTATCAGAGTTTTAACTCAGTGTCTCAAGACTGTTCAGCTTGCTTGCTCCTCTGTTGGAGATCTGCCACTTAAGTCACATCAACAGTTCAGCTTTTTGTTGGCTAAAGATGGAGTTGTATAGACTTCTTGTCTCAGCTAACTTTGAACTTTGATCCTTCAGGTCTCAGTCTCTAGAGTAGCTAGGAATACAGGCATGAGTCACCACCCATACCACCACCAGCTCTCCAACTTTTTAATTATTTCATTGGTCCATACTTTTTTTTTCCTTGTGCTAATCCTAGGACTTGAACTCAAGGCCTGGGTGCTATCTCTGAGCATTTTTGCTCAAGGGTAATACTCTACCACAGCTCTACTTCTGGCTTTTTGGTGTGGTTAATTAGAGATAAGAGACTTACAGACTTTTCTGCATGGACTGGCTTTGAACTGAATTTTCCCAGATCTCAGACTCCTGAGTAGCTAGGATTACAGGTGTGAGCCACTGGCACTGCTCATTAACCCATACCTTTTCTTTTTTAATTTTTGTTTTGGTTTTAAGTCTGAGTCCTGAACTAAAACTCTGCACCTACCACTTTTGCTCACTGGCTTAGCTCTCTCTACCAACTAAGCCATGACTCCAACCCTGACCCATACTTTTTAAAACTCATCTGAAATGTGACCAAAAAAAGCTCACATAAAACTAGGATATAATTAGCTGGGCACCAGCGGTTCACACCTGTAATCCTAGCTACTAAGGAGGCTGAAATCTGAGGATCAAGGTTCAAAGCCAGCCCAGGCAGGAAAGTCTGTGAGATTTTTTTTTTTTTAAATCTTCAATCAACCACCAGAAAACCAGAAGTGGCTCTGTGGCTCAAGTGGTAGAGTGCTAGCCTTGAGCTAAAAAGCTCAGGGATAGCACCCAGGCTCAAAGTTCAAGGCCTACAACTGACAAAAAACAAAAAAAACAAAAACAAAACTAGGATATAACTAAGATAGAACAGGGTAGGACAACTCTTTTTTCTGTTTATGTCCTAAAATCTTTATATCAAAGATTTGCTTACATAAAACTCAAAAACCAAATAAATAAATAAACATCTTTAGTTCCTTTCATTTCTGTATTAAGATGAAAGAAGAAAATTCAATGAAATGAAAACAGCTGTTTAAGACTATTTAATGTTAGAACAGGTTCTATACAACAGGCCCATTACGGGGATCATGTATAAATCTTCATTAAAGTATGTGACAAACTTCTATTATCATTCTTCAAATAACATAAGTACTATCTTTGCAATGTAATATAAAGCTTTATGATAAAATCTATACAGAAAAACAAAATATTGGATATATGTAGTTGATATATTCAAATAGCAACTTCAGTTTCATCATACATTCCCAGTATAGTCTCATACCTTTGCTTGAAGTTATTATTAATCAAATTTCCTATGATACTTAGTATCAGAATTATCCTTTGAGGACTGAGGGCAGATTGGCTTTTGAGTCAAAAAAAAAGTCAACTAAATGTTCTAGATTACCATTTTACACTATGCTAAGCTTGGTTATTAATGTATCTATCCCTCATTTTTTTAAAAGGCAATGCCTTTTTTTTGGTCTTTTTTTCTTTTTGGTACCTGGACTCAAACCCAGGATGTTGCACTTACTGGCAAGTGCTATATCACTGAGCTACCTCCTTTTCTTTCATAAAAAACAGAGATTTCCTCCTTATAGTTTGGAGGCTGGGAAGTCCAAAGTCATGGTCATTTTGGAACTGGGTGGGCTTCAAACTTCCTCTTCAGATTTCAGCCTACTGAAATCTGATTACATGCGCGAGCCACTGGCATGAAACAATTTTTGAGAAGCTCAACTTTCCACACACATTTATGAACCCTTTGTTTGCAAGTTAGTTGGTAAAATTTAAATTTCTACTTTTTAACAGTTAAAACAGGGCAACTATAGTCTAAATATGCTTGTATTTTCCCAAAGAAGTCTTCAGGAGTGGCTCTAGGTCCACAGGAAAAAGAGTTCAAATACCTGAAGTTTTTTTAATGAACATTCTGTATTCTAAATAAGTGCTTTTTTCCTCTGGATTTTTGTTCATAAATACAAAACATTAGTGATAAATATGTTCCCATACCAGTCTTCTCATTTTCAAAGTTGAAATATAATTTATTACATAATGTTGATAAAATGTAGTACCTTGTGCTTGCTTCGGCAGCACATATACTAAAATACAGTACCTAAGTTTTCCTGAACCCCAACTTGACTTAAGTCTAGTAGAATCAGCTTTGAGATAAGGGACAGGGATCTAACAAGAGTGTGCTAGACATCTCGAAGTCTATGACACCACATATATTTAAAGCTAATATAATGATCACAACTTAAAAGGTCTGCTGGGTTCCAAGGACTTCAGATTAATACTTCCTTGGACCATCACTAATTTTTTAGATAGCAATGATTCCGAAGTACTGATTAAAGACCACTAGCTAGGGCTGGGATGTTGCTCAGTGGCAAAGCGCTTGCCTAGCAAGTGCAACGTCCTGGGTTCGATCCCCAGTACCAAAAAAGAAAAGACAAAAAAAATACAGTTAAAAAAAAAAAGACCACTAGCTAACAGAAACTTAAAAAAAATTATTATTCCTAGACTGTATGTGCCACAAAGGCACAATGTCGGATGTCTTTCCATCTTCTTCCCTTTTTCGTTATTATTCTCAAAAGAGGTACATATCTATCATAATCTCAGACTACCCTTATGTCCCAGATGCTTTTTTTTCCTTCTGCTGATACTAGGGCTTGACCTTAGGGCTTTGTGCTACTGCTTGACTTTTTTGCTTACAGCTGGTACTCTACCACTTGAAACATCTCCGCTTCTGCCTTTTTGCTAGTTAACTAAAGATAAAAGTTAGATTTGTCTGCTTGGGATGGCTGAATCAAGTTCTCAGATCTCAGCTTTCTGAGAATTATAGACAATACCACCTGCTTTGTCTCAGAATTTTGAGAAACCTTATTAATCAGAAAAGCTTACCTGAACTTGATGTAGTTCTTCTGGCTCTCAAAATGGGGTAGCTACCTACTTCCAAAGATTTGGTTAAGTCAAGATCATGCAGAATCAAGAGATATCCAGAGGACGTTGAGATCAACATTTTGGAACAATCTGGTGTTAATCTCATTCGCATGAGAAAACGAGTATGAAAGAATTTCTTATGTGGACACCCATCTTCGGTACACCTATAATTAAACCAATAAAACTAGTTGTTAAAAATATAATGGCCAGAGGTACTCACTAGACACAATGTTGAAAATGAACTGTATAACTTGTGGGGGGGGGGGGGGGGGGGAAAAACTGGGAAAGGGTGAGAGAGGGGGTGACATTTTCCAAAAAGAAATGCACTTGCTACCTGACTCAAGAAACTGTAACCCAACTGGACACCACCTTTCTAATAATAATTTTTAAAATACATTTAAAAAACATAATAGCTCAGTGCTAGTCAAACTATTTTGCTATTCAAGGCAAAACTTACAGGTAATTCAATGTGTATTTAGATTCATGCATATACTTTGCAACTTTTTTGTGGGAAGAGGTGACACTGGGAGTTGAACTCAGGCTTGAAGCTTGCCAGGCAGATATTCTATCATGTGTACCATATACCCTGACTCTTCAGTTATTTTGCTGACTATTCCTTCTTTTATCTCTGACCTTTTCATCATCATCGTCTTTCTTTCTGAAGCACATCCCCAGAATTTTTAAAATAAAATTTTGTGTAATAGACTTTCAATTGTTTGAAATCTTTATTTCATTTTCTTTTGCTGTTATTGTTTGGCAGTACAGGTGTTTGAACTTAAGAGCTTTATGCTTCTAGGCAAGTGTTCTACCACTTGAGCCTGGCCCCAGCCCAATATTTCGTTCTTTTTGAACAAGGATTAACAGCATATAACTTAAGGTTCAGAGTTATTTCTCTTTCAATATTGAGAATAAAATTCCATGGAATTATGTTTTTTACTTATAAATCTGCCATCAGTCTACATGTTACTTTAGATAGCTTACTTTTTTTTTAACCCTCTGGTTGGTTGGTCTTCTGTCCTTAGAATTTTGCAATTTCACTTTTTTTTGCACAAATTTGGATTTTTTCATTTATCTTACTAAGATTCATTTTACTTTCTAAATCTTAAGATCAATATTATTGCCGGGCGCCAGTGGCTCACACCTACTCGCTACTCAGAAGGCTGAGCTCTAAGGATCACAGTTCAAAGCCAGCCCCAAACGGAAAGTCTATGAGACACTTATCTCCAATAAACCACCAGAAAACTGCAAATGGTGCTGTGGCTCAAATTGTAGAGTGCTCACCTTGAGCTGAAGAGCTCAAAGCATACAGGCCCAGAGTTCAAGCCCCATGACTGACCAAAAAATACCCAAACATATTATTCATATATTCTGAAAAATTATTATTCTAATATTGCCTCTCACCCATTTTGTGTGTGTGTGTGTGTGTGTGTGTGTGTGTGTGTGTGTGTTGTAAGGCTAAAACTGTGGGCTTGGGCGCTTTCCCTCAGCTCTACAGCTGAAGACTAGCACTCTACCACTTGAGCCACAGTACCACTTGTGGTTTTCAGGTGTTTTATTGGAGATAAGAGTCTCATGAACTTTCCTGCCTGGGCTGGGCTGGCTCTGAACCACAATTCTCAGATCTCAGCCTCCTGAGTAGCTAGGATTATAGGCGTGAGTCACTGGCACCCAGCCCATTTTCTCTATTCTTTTGGAGCTTCAAATAACCTGCTATTTGACCAGACCTGTTTTTTAAGTTTCCAATTTCTTTCTTTCTTTTTTTTAACCATAGGACCTCAAACCACCACCTTACATCTAAGCCATACTCCCAAGTCCTTTATTTCAAGTTTTATTTGGCTTTTTTAAAAAAAATCTGCCTGCCTAGTATCTCTGTAAGATTTTATTCCTTGACTGTTTTATTCCTTTTTTTTTTGTTTAAAATTTTATTAAGTAGTTGTACAAAGGTTACAATTCCTAAAGCCAGGTTATGAGTGTAATGCATGTTGATAAATGCCACCACTTCCATAGTTCTCTCCCATGATTCCTACTCCCACCTCTGCCCTCAAGTTATTCCTTCTTTCCTTGATTTTTTAAACCATGAACCATATCCCATCTACAGACAAGTACATAAATAAAAACATTAGAGTACTATTATTTTAGAAGCACTTTCTCTCCTCTACTGCATCTTGTTCTTTGCTTCAAGTATTGTGATTTCTTACCTCTCAAATAGTTTTTAATTTTTTTTTTTTTGGTTGTGGGGGCTGAACTCTGGGCCTGGACACTGTCTCTTAGCTCTTCAGCTCAAGGCTAGTGCCCTACCACTTGAGCCACAGTGCCACTTCCGGCTATTTTCTGCTTATGTGGTGCTGAGGAATTGAACCCAGGGCCTCATGCATGCAAGACAAGCACTCTACCACCGAGCCAACTTCCTAGCCCCCCGGTTTTTTTTTTGGTGGTGCTGAGGGTTAAACCCAGGGCTTTCTGCATGCCAGCAAGTACTCTACCACTGAGCTTTATCTCTAGACCACTGATAGTTTTTTTCATGGTTTTTGTTTTGTTTTTTTTTTCTGATCCTGGGGCTGAACTCTGTCCCTGAGCTTCTCTGTGCTCAAGGCCAGCACTCTTTTTTTTTTCAAATAACTTTTTTTTATTGTGAAAATACTGTACAGAGGGGTTATTTACATGAACAAGGTAATGAGTACATTTCTTATCAAGCATTGTTGCTTCCTCCTTTGTTTTTCCCCTACCATCCCTTTCCTCCCACTTCCACAACTACAATTCCCTGCCCCCTTTTCCCCCCAACCCCCCACCCCCGCCCCACCTAAATTGTAAAGTTCGATGTTCAACAGTGTCTTGTGGGCTGGGAAGGTAGCTCAGTGGTAGAGTGCTTGCCTTGCATGCATAAGACCCTGGGTTCGATTCCTCAGCACCACATAAGCAGAAAAAGCCAGAAGTGGCGCTGTGGCGTAGGGTGCTAGCATTGAGCTGAAGAGCTGAGGGACATCACCCAGGCCCAGAGTTCAGGCCCTTCCTCTGACAAAAAGCAAACAAACAAACAAAAAAAAAAAACAACAGTGTCTTGTACATCCCATTGTTACAATGGGTCAACCTGTATCCATATTTAAACATTTTCTTTTTTCCCTTTTCCTCCCCAAATTATACCGACATCAAATACAGTGAAAACAGGGGTTATACTGTGGGGGAAGAACATACAAAGTAACAAAAAAAAATATGGAACGTTTCATAAATTTGCATGTCATCCTGGTGCAGGGGTCATGCTAATCTTCTCTGTATCATTCCAATTTTAGTATATGTGCTGTCGAAGCAAGCACAAGGCCAGCATTCTTTTTTTTTTTTTTTTTTGTCGGTCGTGGGGCTTGAACTCTGGGCTTGGGCGCTGTCCCTGAGTTCTTCAGCTCAAGGCGAGCGCTCTCTACCACTTGAGCTACAGCGCCACTTCTGGTTTTCTGGTGGTTTATTAGAGATAGGAGTCTCACGGTCTCTCCTGCCCGGGCTGGCTTTGAACCGCGATCCTCAGATCTCAGCCTCCTGAGTAGCTAGGATTACAGGCGTGAGCCACCAGCGCCCGGCTAAGGCCAGCACTCTTATCACTGAGACACAGCTCAAGTGAGTAGCTTATTGGAGATAAGAGTCTCAAGGACTTTCCTGCCCAGGCTGGCTTTGAGCTGAAATCAGGAGGCTGAGATCTGAGGATATAGTGAAACAGATATAGATATAGATAGATATATATCTGAGGATCTATTACATGCCTGGCATGATAGTTATTTTCAAAGTTTTGGGTTTTTTTTCCCCCTATGTTGCCTCTGTTTACTCAAAAAATTCTTTTATCATTTGTGTCTCAATATTGGGAGATTTTAATTTTTTCATGTTTGATTACCACTGGTGGTTCATGGTTAAGAGGCATTAAAGCTGACTGGGAATTATGAGTATAGGGTTAACTAAATGAATAGATTAACACCTTTTTTTTTTTCTTTTTTGCCACTATATTGGAGCTTAGACTCCTGGCCTCATCATCTCACTCAGCTTTCTTCGTTCACAGATGGGTGTTCTAAACCACTTGAGCCATACCTCCATTGTACATTTTTGCTGGTTAATTGGAGACAGTCTCTCAGATTTGTCTTCCTGGACTGGCTCTGAACCATGATCCTCAGAATTCAGTCTTCTGAGTAGCTAGAATTATAACTGTGAGACATGGTATCTAGTTGAAGCCTTTTGTAATATATATATATATATATTTTTTTTTTTTCTGGTACTACAGTTTGAACTCAGGACCTTGAGCTTGCTCAGATGGCACTCTACCATATAAACCTTGTCTCCAGCCTAACTTTTAGCTGATTATTTTGGAGATGGAATCTCAAATTTTGCTGCCTAGACTGACTCTGAACTGTGATCTTTCAGATGTCAGCCTCCTGAGTAGCTATGATGATAGGCATGAGCCACCAGTGCTCAGAATGAAGCCATTTTTGAGGGCCTCCAAATGTTATCTTTGGTCCATCAACTGAAAGATGTTGAGAAGCTCTGAATTCAGTATTCAGTGTGCTTCTTTACTTTAAAAAAGTAGTTGTGCATGCCTGTAATCCTAGATGAGACAGGAAAATAGTGAAGTCGAGTTGAGATCTATCTCAAAATTTAAAAATTTAGACATAACCAAAATAATCAATAGAAAACAGTTGAGTTTTGTATTATTTTGTACTTGATAATCTTTGTTATTCTATTTTAATTGACACATAATATATTCCAGGTTCATCCTTGTTCTTGTAAATGACAAGAATTCCTTTTTTTTTTTTTTTTGGTCTGGTTGTGGGGCCTGAACTCTGGGCCTGGGCGCCGTCCCTCAGCTCTTCATCTCAAGGCTAGCACTCTACCACTTGAGCCACAGCGCCACTTCCGACTTTTTTCTTTTTGCTTATTTGGTGCTGAGGAATCGAACCCAGGGCCTCATGCATGCAAGGCAAGCGCTCTACCACTGAGCCACCTTCCCAGCCCCTCCTTCTTTTTTGGAGGGAGGGAGGTATAGGTCATAAGGTTTGAACTCAGGGCTTGGACTCAGTCCCTGAATTTTGCTCAAAGCTAGCACTCTACCATTTGAGCCACAGCTCTACTTCTGGCTCTTTTTCTCTCTTCTTTTTTTTTTATTATAAAAATACTGTTACAATTACATGGGCAAGATAATGAGTATGGCTTTTTTTTTTCCTAGTAGTTAATTGGTGAAAAGAATCTCACAGGGGGGAGGGGGGAGGCTGGGAAGGGATGTGAAGGGTAAACCAAAGGAGGAGGCTGCAATGCTTGGTAAGAAATGTACGCACTATCCTGCCCATGTAATTGTAACCCCTCTGTATAGTATGTTCACAAATAAAAAATAAATAAATAAATTAAAAAAAAAAAGAATCTCACATACTTTCCTTTCCAGGCTGGTATAGAATTTGAAACTACAATCCTCAGACATCAGGCTCCTGAGCAGCTAGGATTACAAGTGTGAGCCACCAGCGCCCAGCTAAGAATTCCTTTTTTATAAAAACTTGAATAGTTTTACATTATATGTTTGTGTAATGCTTTTTGTTTTTGGTCTGTTGTGGGGCTTAAACTCAGGGCCTGGGCACTGTCCCTGAGCTTTTTCACTAGTTCTCTACCACTTTGAGCCACAGAGCCATTTCCAGATTTCTGGCAGTTATCTGGAGATATGAGTCTCATGGAGTTTTCTACCCAGGCTGGCAGATCTCAGCCTTCTGAGTAGCTAAGATTATAAGCATGTGCTTGTAATGCATTTTTTAAAATTTATTCATCTGTCGATGTACACTTACGGTGATTTGATATGGTGCACTACAATGAACATGGAAGTGTAGATCTTTGACATTAATTTCCTTTGGATATATGTATCTAGTAAGGAATTGCTGGGTGATATGACAGCTTTATTTTTAATTGAGGAACCTCTTCTGTTTTATATCTATCTTGATTAATTCTTACAAATTTTGATTATGTTTGTGGAGAATTTTCTAGGATTTTATATATAAACCATGGGTTGGAAAACTATGGGCTAAATTTAACCCACTGGTTTGTTTTTTATAAATTTTATATGAACACCCATTTATATACTGCTGATGTAGAAATGGCTGCTAAGAAACCACATAGTAGGGCTGGGAAGGTGGCTCAGTGGTAGAGCACTTGCCTTGCACGCATGCGGCCCTGGGTTTGATTCCTCAGCACCATATAAGCAGAAAAGGCCAGAAGTGGTGCAAGTGTTGGGAGCTTTGAGCTGAAGAACTGAGGGACAGTGCCCAGGTCCAGCATTCAGGCCCATGACCGACCAAAAAAAAAAAAAAAAAGAAAAAAGAAAAGAAACCACACAGTACCTAAACCTAAAATACTTACTACTTGGTCCTTAATAGAAAGTTTGCCAATTCCTGAATTCTATCATCTGTAAATGACTGAGACTTCCTTTCTAAAAGAAATACCTCTTTTTACATTTTTTTTAACTGTACCATCTTTTTATTCTAATCTAGCTAGATAGTTAACTATATTGATTGTACTGAGTTCAGGGGAAATAGCATGTGTGATAACATGTCTTAGAGATCAGTTGATACCTACTTTATAATCTAGTACATTCTTTTTTTTTTTTTTTTTGTCAGTGATGGATCCTGAACTCTGGGTCTGGGCACTGTCCCTAAGCTCTTCAGCTCAAGACTAGTGCTCTACCACTTGAGCCACAGAGCCACTTTCCAGCTTTTTCTGCTTATGTGGTGCTGAAGAATCGAACCCAGTGCCTCATGCATACAAGGCAAGCATTCTACCACTGAGACCCTACATTCTAAATTTTTGTGCCTGTTCTAGGTCTGCCTCAGAGAATATATTTATAGTTTGTTGAGAACATAATTTTATTTAATATAGCAAGCTTATTAATACTTAAGTCTTCTATAGCTTTACTCATTTTTTATTGATTTTTTTTAAATTTATCTATTAGTAAAGAGAATGGTGTTGGTATTTTCTACTACATGAGGATTTCTTGTGATTCCAGTTTTGCATTTTATGGCCTAACTTTCTTTCTAGGTGCATAAAAGAGAATTCATTTACTTTCTAGTGAAATGAATCTTTATAGTACTTTTTATCAATAATAATGCTTTTTGCCTTAAACTCTTAATTTTGTCTGCAATCAAATATGACTATATCTTTTTATCTGGTATGTACCTGAGGTAGTCTTTTCTTCTAATTTATTTTCAACTTTTCTGGTTTTGCATATTTTAGGTGTTCCTTGCAAAAACCATAGTTTAATTTTACTTTTTAATCCAATCTGGCATTATTTACCTTTTAACTGGACAGTTTAGTCCATATATGTTTTTCATGATTACTGATATCTAGATTGCTATTTAGGTTATATGCCTATCCTGTTTTTATGCTTATTTACTCCCACCCCCGCCCCTGAACTGAGGTACTGAACACAGGGTCTTGTATCTGCTAGGCAGGCACTCTAACACTAAGCCATGTCTTCAGCTCTTTTTTTGCACTGCTTATTTTTGAGAGATCTTGCTTCCTGCCCAGGTACGCACCTGTACTGTGATCTTTCTATTGAGATTGGAGTCTCTTAGACTTTTCTGCCTGGAATGGCCTGAAACTAAAATCATCCCAATTTCAGCCTCTCATGTAGCTAGGATGACAGGTCCATACCACTGTACTGGTTGAGAAGGGGTTTCTTAGAACTTTTTTTTTTTTTACCCAGTCTAGCCTTAAATCATGACCTTTGTGAACTCAACCTCCCTAGCAGCTTGGATTTCAGGAATGAGCCACAGGTGTCCATCCTTGTTTGTTTTTTTTTCTTGTTTTCTTCTCTTTTTCTTTTGGTTGGACTGGAACTCCAACTCTATACCTGAGGCTTTTACCCATTAGCTAGCATTCTACCAGCTGTTTAATAGGTATCTCTGTCTAAATAAAATCTATCCTCTATTCTTTTTTTTTGGGGGGGGGGGGTTCGGTTGTGGGGCCTGAACTCTGGGCCTGGGAGCTGTCCCTCAGCTCTTCAGCTCAAGGCAACACTCTACCACTTGAGCCATAGCGCCACTTCCAGCTTTTTTTGCTTATGTGGTACTGAGGAATCGAACCCAGGGCCTCAGGCATGCAAGGCAAGCGCTCTACCACTGAGCCACCTTCCCAGCCCCTCTATCCTCTATTCTTCACTCAATTATGTGTAGCTAGAAATCTTTAACAAGAAAATCCCCCTTTTAATATGATCTCTAAACAAAATTTCAGAAATGTTCCTGATATGACATTTGACCATAACAACAGCATATTTTATTTCTCAAATTTCAACACTCCAGATAATCAATTTCTCTTTGAAGAATCATTTTACTGACATGAGGACACATTTTACTCAACTGAGGCATAAGTGGTATTTTAGGTGAGAAAACTGGTTTATTGTATAGAACTGTCTAGAGTAAAACAATGTTTAGAAATTATGGTCCTGGCCAAATAATGTCAAAAGGTATCCACCCTTCGCAGTGACAACCAAAACTGCACCAAATTTTATTGTCCAATATTCCCTTTGGGATCAGAAGAACCCCAAATGAAACTGATTCTCTTAATGCATAAAAATAAAGGGCAAAATTACAAAACAAATACATTCAGAACCAAAGGCAAAGAATGAGAAACAATTTTGGTCCACAAAGGATGTAGCAGAAGTATTTTTAACTTAGGAAACTCATTTTATAAACCAGTTTTTGTGTTCACATAATAGTGTCCAAAATTCCTCCCTCTTTTCCTGTCCCTACCTCACCCTTTCTATCCTCTCTCTCCCCCTTTATCCTTCTGCAGTGCTGGAGATGAAACTCAGGTTACAAATGTTAGGTAAGTACACTAGCACTACACTAAGGTCCAAAACCTTTAGTGGCAATATCTGTGTAGGAATAAGTAATCAAAGATGGAATTTTTTTTTCTTTTTCTTTCTTTTTTTTTTTTTTTGTTGGTCGTGGGGCTTGAACTCTGGGCCTGGGCGCTGTCCCTCAGCTCTTCAGCTCAAGGCAAGCGCTCTACCACTTGAGCTACAGTGCCACTTCTTTTTTTTTGTCTGACGTGGGGCTTGGGCACTGTCCCTCAGCTCTTCAGCTCTAGGCGAGCGCTCTACTGCTTGAGCCACAGCGCCACTTCTGGTTTTCTATTAGTTTACTGGAGATAAGAGTCTCATAGATCCTCAGATCTCAACCTCTTGAGTAGATAGTATTACAGGTGTGAGCCACCGAAGCCCAGCTGAATAATTTTTTCTTAAAGCCAGGTTTTCTTCTCAAAGTTTGAACAGCACACAATATTTGCTCATATTTTAAAAAGTTTCAACTTATCATATTCATTATAATCCTAAGTCTTTTATTCACAAACCTGTTAGTGTCCCAAATAATGACATTTCCGTCAAATCCTGACGTTACTAAGAGTCTTGTATTAGTATCATATTCGATGTTCTTCACCCAACTAGTGTGACCGTGTAAAGTGCATACTTTGCTGTTCAGTTTTCTCAGATCCCATAGTGCTATTGTAGTGTCATCAGAGCAGGTTGCAAACAGCCGGTTATCAAGAAATCTACAAAAGCAGAAAAGAAAAACTGGTTCATTTAATCTCTACTTAAAGAAAACGTGCTTTGAGAAACAATCTCTGTATTATCAAGAAAGAAGAAAATGAAGGACAAGTTCATTGTATAAGTCTAGTGATTCTGATACATAATAAACAGTGAGTAAAATTCATATAGGCTATGATCCATGTTATAATCCATTTCCTTTAAATTACTGATTTTTGTTTGGAACTGGAAATAAAAGTGTATGTTTGGAAGACAGTGATAGAAAGACAAGAACTTTAAAATTTACAGAAGAGAATTTAGTAAGAGAATTTTCAGACTTGACTGTTGAAAAGGAGTATACTAGTGTAAAGGATTCTAAATAATGAGAAATATTTGCTACAAGTAACATCTCTATTTAGAGCACATTTACACAGAAAATTACTATTCAAACTGCCATCACTTTTGTTTTCCTAGTGGTACTGGGGTTTTAATTCAGTCCTTGTGCTTTCTAGGCTCTACTATTGAGCATATTCTGTTTTTCAGACAGGGCCTCCATATATATAGTTCAGGATGACTTGGAAATCATGATTCCCCTACCTTCACCTCCACGTGCTGGGATTACAGATGTGTACCACCACCATGCCCAGCTTCCATATTTTTAATCTATTAACTCAAAAGCATTTCCCAAATATTCTAATTTAATGAAATTTTATTAGGACTAGTCAAAATCAGAAGATAGGTTTAATTAAAATATTCTGTAATTCACAGGTGCTGGGGGCTCACGCCTGTAATCCTAGCTACTCAGGAGTCTGAGATCTGAGGATTGTGGTTCAAAGTCAGCCTGGGCAGGAAAGTCTGTGAGATTCTTATCTCCAAAAAACCATCAGAGTATGTTCACAAATAAAATTAAATTAAATTAAAAAAAAAAAAACATCAGAAAATCGGAAGTGGCACTGTGGCTCAAGTGCTAGAGCACTCGCCTTGAGCTGAGCTGAGGAACAGCGTGTAGGCCCAGAGTTCAAGCCCCATGACTGACGACAAAAACAAAACAAAACAAAACCAAAAAACCTCAACAAAAAAATAAATCAACCTCAGTATCCATGAACACCATGAACACCATCATTAACGAAACTTCTTGTGGCTTTTAAAATACCAGGCCCACTTTCTTCCTGCACTTTGATTTAGCTAACTCATGTTTTCTCTTTTAGTTTTAGATATCATCCCCTTTAGTTTTAGATATCATCGCCTCCAGAAATGCTTCCCTCTCCCTTTTTTTTTTTTTTGGTCAGCTGTGGGGCTTTAACTCTGGGCCTGGGCACTGTCCCTTAGCTCTGAAGCTCAAGGCTAGTGCTCTACCACTTGAGCTACAGCGCCTATTCCAGTTTTCTAGTGGTTAATTGGAGGTAAGAGTCTCATGGACTTTCCTGCTCCGACTGGCTTTGAACGGTGATCCTCAGATCTCAGCCTCCTGAGTAGCTAGGATTACAGGCATGAGCAACTGGCGCCCAGCCTTATTTACTGAAAGAGGGTATTACTAACTTTTGTTTGTCTTGACTGGCTTCAAACCATGTTTCCATCTCCACCTCTTTGTAGCTGGAATAATAGGATGGTAATACCATGACTGACTCAAAGAGGTTTCATCGAAAAACTTCCACACATGCATATAATATGCTAATCAAATTTACCTCTTCTGTTACTCCTTCTTAACACCCTCCCTCCCTTCCCTTTTAATGTTTTTATGAGTTTCTTTATGCTATCTCCTCCTCTCTCCCTCCCTTCCTTCCTTTCTTTTGCCAGTGTTAGGACTTGAACTCAGGGCCTAGGTACAGTAGTCCCTGAGCTGCTTTTGCTCAAGACTAGGACTCTACCACTTGAGCCACAGCGTCACTTCCGGCCTTTTCTGTTTATGTGGTACTTAGGAATCAAACCTAGGGCTTCATGCATGCTAGGCAAGCATTCTACCACTAAGCCACATTCACAGTCCCTCATTATGCTATTTTTATACAAACATGTTTCATATGTTTTCCACATATATTTTTATCCTTTAGACAGCCATAGTCTAGATGCTTTCCTCACTACATGCAAATTTTAATTCTTACATCCAGTCCATTTTTTTCTCATATAGTCACAACCCTCCTTCCTCAGCCTTCCAGGTACTAGGATTACAGGTACACACTACCTGGCTCAAAACATTTTTAACCGTATTTTTTTTTTTTGTCCTTTTTGGTACTGGGGATCGAACCCAGGATGTTGCACTTGCTAGGCAAGCGCTTTGCCACTGAGCTACATCCCAGCCCTCAAAACATTTTTAAAAACATGAAAAGTTACTAAAAAGTTGGTCAAACTTTTAAACTGAGTATCCACGTATTTGAAAAAAAATAGAAAAAGTCAAAACTACTTTATTTTCCTTACAGGAAATATTTAGTTGACAATATTAAAACCTACTTAGCCGGACGCCAGTGGCTCACGCCTGTAATCCTAGCTATTCAGGAGGCTGAGATCTGAGGATCTCGGTCAAAGCCAGCCTGGGCAGGAAAGTCTGTGAGACTCTTATCTCCAATAAACCACTAGAAAACCGGAAGTGGTGCTGTAGCTCAAGTGGTAGAGTGCTCACCTTGAGCTGAAGGGTGCAGGGACAGCGCCCAGGCCCAGAGTTCAAGCCCCACGACAAACCAAAAAAAAAAAAAAAAAAAAAAAAAAACTACTTCATATAAGTTTAGATTATACTGGGTTATAGTACTATGTATGACACTGGTCCTTCTGAAAGGGTGTGTGTGTGTGTGTGTGTGTGTTCCCACTGAAAAGGTGTGTGTGTGTGTATAGTACTATGTATGACACTGGTCCCGCTGAAAGGGTGTGTGTGTGTGTGTGTTCCTTCTGAAAGGGGTGTGTGTGTGTGTGTGCATGCCCAGTCCCTCTGAAAGGGGTGTGTGTGCGTGTGTGTGTGTGTGTGGTCCCTCTGAAAGGGGTGTGTGTGTGTGTGGTCCCTCTGAAAGGTGTGTGTGTGTGTGTGTGTGTGTG